TTGAACAATCAACCTGAACCAAATTAAATCTACTATCAATAAATACTACATTTTGTCATGCTGAAGTTCAAAACAATCCAAAGCAGTCTAAAATAGTCCAGACAGTCCTAATTATACAATTATCAGGAGTCAAACATCGAATGCTAATATATGAGATAACATGATCTACAATTAATATCAGTTATACAGTCCAATTATACACTCAAGTTGTACAGTCCCATCATATGCAATTAATATCAGATGCTACTACTGTGTAATCCATTATGCGAACTATCATGTACATAAATAAGCTAAACTTTGAAATCGACATGAGTAATTGGTCATTTATTCAGCAATTCGAATACAACTGTGGATTTAGTCCTTCACACATTTGAAGTTGAAGAATACCTGGAATTAAGGCAAATGAGAGAAGAAGGAGTCAGCAGTGGCAAGCAAACAATTAGCAATTGAAACCAGCAGCACAGGATCGATTTTGGACTCAAAATAGCCTCACAACAACCCAGGAAGGAATGACAAGGGAATAGCAGCAACAAAATAACCAAAAACAAGCTTAATTGAGCCCAAATTGACTCATAATTAAACTCAGGATCTTCTGCAGCTTCAGCACCCGAACACAAGGAATGTTCCAGCTATTTCTATCCTTATTTAAGCTGGAAACTCAAGTCAACAACCAGAATTTGAAACTAAACTAAGGAACTTTAATAGAAGAATATTTTTTTTTGGAGTTTTTCTGCTATATTTGATTTTTAGAAGGTTTCAGATCTAGGAGGGAGTATCACACTCTCAAATTTTAGCTTTTGTTTTTGAATTTGAAATTCAAAATTTTCAGATGTTCAAACTCGTGTGGATTTTTTCCAGATTTTTTAATTTGTATTGTAAGGCAAGGCAATGCCCTTTTATAGACAAAATTAGGGCTGCCTTCAGATTTTCACTTTACCCCCTAAGTCCCTCTTTTATTTTTAAATTTTAGCTAATAAGTCCTTAAAGGACTGACTTACTGCCCAAGTAATGTTACTAAGAATTAAAAATGTTGTTCAAGCCCCAAACTAGAAGCTTCTAGGGGCTTCTCGACTTAGTTATTGAAAATTCCCTAAGTGTATTACCCCAATTACCCTCATCAACCACTGAATTTTACTTTGGATAACTAACCCAACTTCAACTCATGGGTCAAGTTGACCCAATCGTTTAACCCCAACTGGGCTGGCCTACTTTCTTTGGCTTTCAAACTCCCTTCTGAAATTAACCCAATACATCAGTCCCAACAGACCCATACCAAATCCAATCCTAGCAGTTCGAATCAGATTCAGAAATAAAGGAAAAGGGGCAGTTAATACTACCTTATTCAGTAATTAGACTAACCTATACCATTAACACTTACAAACTACAAATGACTTATACTTAATTAAATAAATAAAGAATAGGATTGTGGAAGAAGAAGAGTATCTACACAGTGGACTAATCATGGATTGAGCAAAGATTTTCAAACATGGAAAAACCTAAAGCTAAATCAGAAACAAAACAAACAAAAAAAAGGAGAAAGAAATACTTAAGGAAACAAAAATATAGAATGAACTAAAAAGAACGAAGAGGAATACCTAGCAAACTGGCCAAAATCCAACCACGAGTCTCGACAAGATACCTTGAAATTTTGATTCAACGAGCCTTAGCCGTGTGTTTTTTATGTGAAAATACACATCTAAAACTCATTAGCGTCAGAATCGTCAACAAAATCTCTCCCTGGCTTTTAGGGTTAATTTGACTTGTAGATACGTCGATCTTGGCTAAGATTTGGGGGAAAAGGAGTAGGAATCTGTGATGTGGGGGTGAAGAAGGTCCCACGGTGTAAGTTTGGTGGGGATTGGATGGTGGTGCCGCCGTGCACGCCGGAGGCGGCGACCACTGTTTGGATTGTTTGAAGGGATTGAAGGGGATTCGAGGAAAAATAGGACTAGATTCATGATGAGGAAGATGAGGTGAAGAAATGGTGTAATTTTGGGGTCCAGCGGAGAATCGCCGCCGGCAGAGGCGATTTCCGGCCTGCGGCGGACGGCGGAGGGTGGCGGAGACGGGAAGGGGAATCTCTAGGGTTCATGAGAGACGAAAGGGGGGGGGGGGTAGGCTATCCGACCATTTTATATTAGGCTTACCCTAGTTCCTGACCGTAGGATCAAAAATCCTCGATGGCCGGATCAAAATTTATTAAACGGGGTCGTTTTATGAGAAGGGAGGGGTTGGACCGGGTTGGTGTATGGATTTGGGCCATTTTGGCCGGATTTTGGGATATGGGGGAAGGGTGGATTTGTTTGGGCTGCTTGATGTTAGCCCATCATGGCCAGCCCTTTTGCTTTTATTTCAATTTCTTTTATTTGTTGTCTTCTTTTTTTTTTTTTGTGTTTTATTATATTTTTTTTTGAATTTTCTGATTTCATTAAATGTAAAAATAAAGACCCAAATTGAGTCTAAAATTATACTAATTAAAATTTCAAAATTAACTAATTTCTAATTTAAAAGAAAACTTAAGACAAATTCTAAAAATTGAAAGTAGGAAATGCAAAGAACCATTTTTGTTATTTTTTTTATTTTTTGTAATATTAAAATGCGCACTATTTTGTATTTTTGGAATTATATCAACTAAGATGCACACAAAAATGCAAGCAAGAAACAAAATCATGCAATTAATTCATAAAATTCAAATAATAAAAGAAAAATCCTAATTCTAAGGAATTTTATAGGAGTAATTTAAGCGTGGAAAAAATCACGTGCTCACAAATACTATCATTGGTCTAATTGATAGTCGAAATTTGTATTATTTGTATTCCAAAGAGATGTTAGACGAGATACAACAACATGACATATTTATTTCTTATTTTACTAGATATTATAATTATAAGTATTATATAACTAATTCAATTATATTCATCATCTTTGTATGTTAAGAAAATATTGTTTCAATGTATACAATAATTTATTTATATATTTTATACTAACTGACGCAAAACACACGTGCAACGCACGTACACTAAAGCTAGTTATAATTAAAAGTGGGAAGCCCTTAAGTCAAAAGTTAAATTACTTTTTTACCCTTTTAAATATCTAATTACCCTACTTATTTTAAAAATTTATAATTATAATATTTAAATAGAAGATGGAAAAAATTATTCTGAATGGTTGTGCATATTAAAAGGTTTCGCATTAGTAATGAATTATTACAAAGTGAAGACCTCCAAAGTCAAAAGTTAAATTACAAAAGTATCTTCTAACTACCTTATTTAGTTACCTAAATACCTTATTTAATTGAAAAAAATACTTACAAAGTGACCTAAATACTTCACGCTGCTTATTAAAAAAAAAAATATAACGCCTACAAACAAAGCCACCGCTTCAATTTTCATTAACAGTCGCAAGTATCCACTTCAAACGGTGTGGAAGCAACAAAACTGAAGTTGGTCTCTACCATCGACTGTAAACAAAAGGTCATCATCATCGTCCGATGATAAATCTTCTTCTCCGAAATGTTAAAAGCTTCACACAGATTTCCACTTCAATCAATTTTATTTGCCTACTTTTTGTACGTGAGTCAATTCGTTTTATTTTTTGTCTGGATGATTTCCCACAAATTCTTTCTTCTAGGCAATTGCCGAAAAAGTTGACGACGTGCTTGAAATATTCAACAGAGGGCAAGTGGTTTAATTACTCTTATCTTTTTATTTGCTTGAGAGAAGTTTACTATTTTTCCTACTATACTTGTGTACTTCAATCACATATATCCAATGCGCGGGTTATTCAGTTTTCTTGTAATCCTCTGTATTTTAGGATTACCGCCTATTATAGTAGATAAGTTTTTGGAGTTTGTTTTCTTTAAGAAAACAAAATTCAAGGTTTTGAAATGAAGATGCATTGGTGTAGGCATTTATCCGCAGGTTTCTAACATTCTTTTTCTATAGTATTTGCTGTTGAATTTTATTTAATACGTTTTATATCTAACATAGAATGTAAATATATACTGCATAACCTAACAATACAGGTTTCTGCGATAAATTTCATGGTTGGTTCGAGCAAATATGCTCATCTTGATATGAGGAATCAAATAATTAGTGCAATGTTGTGTTTGGCAAGGCTTACACAGTATTGCTTTAATTTGCATTTCCATTAGTTATTATTGCTTGTGTTCAAGTATGTTTACCATAATTCAACAATTTTGTTATCTCCTGGTAAAAGTTTTTAGTGGTAAGATACTTTTCTAAAATAAAGAAGATTCTTTTTGGTCACCACATTTATACCCAACGCTGAAGTCTTTTTTTTTTTTTTTTGTCTATAATTAATATTTGTAGAGTTTCAACAATTTCTTTTTTAACACTGCATTTATTCCCTTCACATGGCGGCTTTGGTTTCGGGGAGCGGAACGGAGGGGCACTTCGCCGTTGGACTTTGCCGAGGCATTCGATCTAGTGATTGCGAACTCTAGTTTTCCTAAGCGGGAGGAGCATTTGGTTACTTACCAAAGTTCGGTGGCGAAGACTCAGATTGACTATCTTCTTCTCAGGAGATGCGACAGAAGGTTGTGCGAGGATTGCAAAGTTATCCCAGGTGAGACCCTTGCGACGCAACATAGGCTTTTGGTGATGGACATTGGTATTATGATAAGGAGGAAGAAGAGGTCAGTACGAGGCCGCCCGAGGATTAGGTGGGGCGCCTTGACTGAGGATAAAGATCAGGAGTTGGTAGGAAGGTTATCGGCAATGGGAGCTTGGAGAAGTAGTGGGGATACAAACACTATGTGGTCGACGACGGCAGACTGTATAAGGAAGGCGGCGAGGGAGGTGTTAGGGATATCTTCGGGACGCACCGGTGGCCACGAAGGAGACTGGTGGTGGAATGCAATTGTCCAAGGTAAAGTGGAAGCGAAGAAGGCGGCTTACCTGCGGTTATTAAGGAGCACTGGCGAGGAGGAGAAGCGAGCGAACAGTGAGAGATATAAGGTTGCTAGGAGGGAGGCGAAGATGGCAGTTACGGAGGCTAAGACGGCAGCGTTTGCTCGTCTGTATGAGGAGCTAGGGAACAAAGGCGGGGAGAAGAAGCTATTCCGACTCGCTAAGGTGAGAGAGAGGACGGCTCGGGATCTGGACCAAGTGAGGTGCATAAAAGATGATGACGGCAAAGTTTTAATGTGGGATGCCCAGATTAAGAGGAGATGACAGACCTACTTTCATAAACTTCTGAATGGAGAAGGTGATCAGGATATTGTACTAGGTGATTTGCGAAATGCCGACAGCCCACGTGAGATAAGTGATTGTATAGACATTAAGGTCGATAAGGTCATGGAGGCAACGCGTAAGATGAGGAGGGGCAGAGCTACCGGGCCAGACAAAATTCTGGTTGAACTTTGGAGGTGTGTGGGCAGAGCAGGCTTGAAATGGCTTACTGGGTTGTTTAATGTTATATTCAAGACTAATAGGATGCTTGAAGAGTGGAGGTCGAGTACAATGGTTCAGTTGTATAAGAACAAAGGCGATATCCAGAGCTGTAACAACTATAGGGGTATCAAACTACTGAGTCATACCATGAAAGTCTGGGAAAGAGTGGTAGAAATGAGAGTGCGAAGGACGGTGTCTATTTCAGACAACCAGTTCGGGTTCATGCCAGGGCGATCTACCACAGAAGCTATCCACCTTATTAGGAGGATGGTGGAACAATATAGGGATAAGAAGAAGGATCTCCACATGGTGTTTATCGATCTAGAGAAAGCGTACGACAGGGTTCCTAGGGAGGTCTTATGGAGATGCTTAGAGGTTAAAGGGGTCACGGGTGCCTACATTAGGGTGATTAAAGACATGTATGATGGAGCTAAGACCCGAGTTAGGACAGTAGGAGGCGATTCCGAGCATTTTCCGTTTGTTACGGGGTTGCACCAAGGGTCTGCGTTCAGCCCTTTCCTATTTGCCCTGGTGATGGATGCCATTACGCATAATATTCAAGGGGAGGTGCCATGGTGTATGCTATTTGCTGATGATATAGTCCTAATTGACGAGACAAGACGCGGCGTCAACGAGAGACTAGAGGTTTGGAGACAGGTCCTTGAGTCTAAAGGTTTCAGGTTGAGCAGGACGAAGACGGAATATCTCGAGTGCAAATTTGGGCCCGAGCCGACGGACGCGGGAGTGGAAGTGAGGCTTGACTCCCAAGTCATCCCTCAGAGGGGTAGTTTCAAGTACCTTGGGTCAGTTATTCAGGGGGTACCGGGGAGATCGACGAGGNCGAGTAGCAGAGATGAGGATGTTGAGGTGGATGTGTGGGCATACAAGGATGGATAAGATTAGGAATGAAGTTATTCGAGAGAGGGTGGGCGTGGCGCTCATGGAGGACAAGATGCGGGAAGCAAGACTCAGATGGTTCGGGCACATTCAGAGGAGCACTGATGCACCGGTGAGAAGTTGTGAGCGACTGGCGGTGGTGGGCTCGAGGAGAGGTAGAGGGAGACCTAAGAAGTATTGGGGCGAGGTGATCAGGCAGGACATGACGCGACTTAGGATTACTGAGGACATGGCCCTTGACAGGGGATTGTGGAGGTCGAGCATTAAGGTTGTAGGTTAGGGGAAGTTGGGAATATTTCTACAGCGCGCTAGAGTGAGACTAGACAGTTAGGAGTTAGGCTTAGGATGCTACTGATCAGCTACTGATGCAGGGCTTTATATTATAGATATTAGTATATTTTCCTCTTTCTCGTATTCCCTATATTCCTTATATTGTTGTTATTTGTTATTTTATGTTATTTCAGGTTATGTTGTCTATTTTATGTTATTTATTATGAGTCTATTGCTAGTACTAATATATCGTCACTTGTTTCTGCCACTTGTTTCTTTCTTGAGCCGAGGGTCTTCTGGAAACAACCTCTCTGCCCCTCGGGGTAGGGGTAAGGTCTGCGTACATATTACCCTCCCCAGACCCCACATGTGGGAATATGCTGGGTTGTTGTTGTTGTTGTTGTAGTATTTATTCCCTTCACAAGTGTTAGGAATAAATTGTTTTTAGTTGCTTCCTGTTTTCCTATGACATTCTCATGAAAAGCTTTGAACATGAAAATATAGCATGTTGAAATGACTACAATATTAGTGGGCATTTGTTTAAATTTTTTCTGAGATGAACTCCATAATATAAACAGTATAATTACTCATTATTTGTGGAAATAATCAGCACGAGGGTAGCGAGTCGTTGTGCTAGCAGGAGAAGCAAAGGACATGTGCGAAACTTCATGTCCCTTGACGGTTAAATCTAATAAGGCAAATTATTGTATAAGTAATTGTACTCTGATATAGAATAAAATCAACAATGACTTATAGTCTTATACAGGCTAAAGAAAACAGGTGCATGTCCGAAATACTAATGCAAAATAGAGAACTCTCCTTATTGTAGGTATATAGAACACAGATGATGTAAATGACAAGTTAAAACTAAACAAAGGTTAAATAGATCCTTCCCAATATTTGGCATTAGTTGAAGCTGGTCATCATGCCTGTTCAAATTATCTTTTCAAGTCTTCAAGTTTTCCAAAAGAGAAATTTAGCATATACTGGATCAACCACCAAATTAAATTTAGTCCGTTATTTGAAGGCATTTAGTGCACATCCCGTAACAAATTCAGAATAAACAAGGATTCGTAGAATAAAGGAAGTGTATAACTGGGGATGCTACATACAATTTTGAAAATTTTACGGAACAAAAATTCATGATGTCATTAAGGTTCCCTAAATTAAGATTGAGCAGAATACATTAGAAGAACAATCTAACATCAACTGCTATCTCACTGGTCACAAGCATGCTCTTAATGATATTTGAATCACCAGGATCAATGATGTTGAGGCAACAGACTCTGAAATACTTATCAAATGCAGTCTCAGATCTACGTTATTCAGAAAAACTTATACTTTATTCTTTTAGTTATACCTACTCAAAGCTTTGTTATACTAATAGTTATTGATATTACAATATATATATATATATATATATGACTCGGTATACACGTGCGAGAAACTAGTACTATATTATAATTGTGAAGCCCCAAAGTGAAAGTTAAAAGACCAAACTAACCTTATAATACTGAGAGACTAAAATACCCTTCAAACAATAATAAAATTTGTGTTAGCCGACCTATTCATGAAAATCTGAAAATTTTGAGAAGTTGTATTCAATAAAATTTAATGTAGACTAAAGAGTAAAGACTATGAACGTATGGAAGGGAAGACGAAGCAATGCCAACTAGGATAGAATCATATAAAGGCAAGAAGGGATTTTCTTTTTTACTTAGCTAGGTTTCTATACATGTTATTTCCTTACAATTTAGTTTCATATAAGATTGACAATTTTGGTACTTTCATTTCTATCGCGAGAAAGATGGATCTTTTGTAGCCAACTTAAAGAGATTTTAAGGAGAAAATAGGATTCTACATGCTTCCATCAAGATAAAAAATCTTAATTAAGAAATACTCTCTACTTGTTATTTAATTCTATGAAATAATGCGTCTTTTGTTTTTTCTTTTCCAGTAGTCAATAGACTTTTGTACCAGTAATGGAATCCTTAATTAGCAGTAAAGTTTTACCCCTCATGAATGGAAAAATAAAAATCAATCATAATGACGATGAAATTACAAAAAGCATTGTATCCCTCATTGTCTTATTTTATTGCGACTCATTTAAGAATATAAAGTATAGCAAGGAAACTGTTTATGAATGTGATGCGTTTACATTTGTGCTAAAAAGTTATAATTGTGATTTTTTTTTCATGTTAAAGATATTATTTATTTTATTAGAACTACATGCTTGCGATTCAAGCTTGTCTTTCTACATAAAAAGAAGTGAAGGTCATCATCAAAGGGCGAAAATACTGTGAGCAATGTGGATACAAGTCAATATACACGTTGTGCTGCTCTATTCGAGCTTCTAAACAAAATACAGTCAAACCTCTCTATAACAGTCTCGTTTGTTCCGAATATTTTTGGATGTTATAGCGAATTGCTGTTATAGAGAACATATATTATAACAAAATATGACATTTGGTACCGAAAAAATTTGGCTTTTATAGTGAAGTGTTGTTTTATAAGGATGTTATTATGGAGGGGTCTGACTGTACATAACCCATATATATATATGATAAAGAATTTAGTGAGGCAGAATTTTATTTTTTTATTTTAATAATTTTTATTTCATAACTCAAATGTATGTCTAAATAATATTTATGTAATTTATAAAAACTATGTACTCATTAATATGAGGTGTACGCGCAACGCACGTGTCCAGAACTAATAACCCTAAGTAAGAGTAATGGGGTAATAGGTCACTCTTAAATTTAATCGTGAATAGGTCTCACGTAAATTCCTGGTCCGATGCAACTACTTTTGTTGGCCGTTTAGGTGTTTGTGCTAATTTTATTATCATATTTGGTTTTCCTATTTCCTGAAGGAAGGACAACATATTTATCATAATTGATTTTTTTCTTTAACGATAAGGAAAAAATAATTCTTCCATAGGTTAGTCTTTTTTCTTGGACTTCTATAAATTAAGGATCCTTCCACAGTGTAGCCATAAGGCGTTTGAAAGTCTGGTTTAGGGGTAGAATTTTTGGGACAAGTGTTAGCATGCCACTTGTGTGTGCCTCTTTGTGAGATTGTTCTCTTAATATTATGTACTCTCTTGTATATAATGGTTTGCTCATCTCCGCATGTAGATGTAGGTCAATTGATTGAACCACGTTAAATGTTTGTGTCTTTTTTGATATATTTCTTTTTTATTGTCTGATTTATTATCGTTCAAAGTTCGTTTTACTAGCTTCCGATCCTATTATCCAGAAAAAGAAAACAGGACAAAAATGAAGAAACTAGGACTCAACAACAATACTAGTTCTGATTCTAGACAACAAGACCATTCAAATAGCATCTTCAATCAACAAAACAAGAATATTGATATCTAAAAAAGTCACTTTTTCTCATCATTACATACAGGGGAACTGCTCGTTGTTATGCAACATCTAATCAAAATTTCTGTTGATCAACAGTTTCACTCAATAACAAGGTTAGAAGGAAATTTGCATTGTAGGAAAAATTTCATAATCATCAGTCCATTGATATTGCCAAAATGAGAGAAAACAACAGGCAACTGAGACAACAATAGAAGACCAATTGTAAGAGCAACAAAGTTAACATGTACAATTCATTAAGATCCTTCCGCTTGAATCCTCATTGAGGAACACTATAATAGAACTTTATAAAGGGCAGCCCGGTGCACTAAGCTCCCGCTATGTGCGGGGTCTGGGGAAAGGCCGAACCACAAAGGCCTAACGTACGCAGCCTTACTCTGCATTTTTGCAAGAGTCTGTTTCCACGACTCGAACCCGTGACCTCCTGGTCACATGACAGCAACTTTACCAGCTACGCCAAGGCTCCCCTTCTATAAATTGTTATTTGGTAAACTCCGAGGAGATATAGAAAAATAAACAAGATAAAGGAACTCTCCTGTTAGACGGTTTCATTTAGCATGCCAACTCTGAATGTAGGAGTCTTCCCTCCTAACCCTCAAAGAACAATGAGAGTAAATGACAATTTATACATGTGATTTCATTTTCAACATGATACGTAATTGCAAAAGAAAATAGGTTCTAAAGTGAGTCAACAGTACACGAGGTCTACACCATCGATATACGACATGAAGTTCTTACATTATACTCCCAATAGGGTATTAGCATCTGAATACTATGATATGAAAGATTTCAGATCACCAGGAAGCAAGATTACTCGACTAGAGCAGACTAAGAGTAAAGGTAAGGCTGCTAAAAATCAGATAGCAATTCACAATTCTTCAAAAAAGGGTCTGAAAATCTTCAACATCTTACATACTTCTGTACATAGGACAGTACTAGATTCACAAATTCAATGTCAAAGTCAAACTCACCACATATATCCACACCTGAGAAGTAAAGACAAAAGGAAAATAGCTGCTTCAAGTGAAACTCATTGACATTCCTGTGAGAGAACATTTAATGCTGAGTAGAAGCTTGAAGGAGTCCGTCGCGAATCTGGCTCGCCACATCTCTTACAGCACCGGGCCCATGAGGAAGGAAAACGGCAGATGATTTGCTGGAAGCGCCAATTTCTTTCATGGTGTCAAAGTACTGAGTTAAAAGGACCATGTCCATAACATCCTTTGCCGAGGTTCCAGGCACATTCACAGAGAAGCCAAGCACACTGTCTCTTAAACCATCCACAATTGCTTGACGTTGTCGTGCAATACCTAACCCTGAGAGATACTTTGACTCTGCTTCTCCTTCAGCCCTTTTAATTTGTAAAATCTTCTCAGCCTCCGCCTTTTCATTTGCAGCCACCCTCATCCGAGCAGCTGTACAGTTGAAGAGAGTTATTAGGACATAAAAATAGCAAGACAAACCGGTTAAGAATATTAGTCTTCAATTTGGCAAAGTAAAAACACCACCCTCACTCTCCAATTCCTTGCTTTACACCCCAAAAACCATTAAACGGGTAAAAGAGAACAGAAACTAGCCCTTGAAGAGCTTGGTATGCATAAAAGTCATCAGAGTTCCTAACACTGCCATGTGGCATCTGCCTATAGAACTTATTCTGCATAAATAATTCACTAAGGTAGTGCAAGGGAAATTCCATCAGAAGATATTTAGGACCCGTTTGGCCATAGATTTTGTCAAAATTTATTTGGGTTTTTTTTGGCAAATACATGTTTGTTCATAAATTTTATCCATATTTTTGCAAATTCCCAAAATCCAAAACCCAAATCCTGGCCCAAAATATTACTATTACATTTTTTAAAAATTGCCCAAACTTTTGTATTTTATAAAAGAGCCCACCATTTATTATTTTGTAACAATGTTGCTTCGTCTTCTCGGTCATCTGATAGTATATTATGTAGTTCATTATAAAAAAGATAAATTTGTACCAAATTTATTTATGTTCAGGACTATGGTCTGCGATAATATAATGAATGCTATTGATGGAGGTAGTGTTGGGTATTTGTGATAGTTTTTAGAACTTGTCGGTATAAGTCATATTTCAAGTTTTTAAAAAAAAAAAGTGAAATATGTTCTGAAAACCGATGTCCAAACACATTTTCATCTTCAAATCAAACTTCATCCAAATCAAATTTTTCAAAACAAATTTAGGAATCTATGGCCAAACTCTAGTTTATATTCCTCTTGAGATTATGCGGTCAGAGCATTTGAGAAACAACTGCGTCATTGTTAGGCATAATCAGAGGGAAAGATTTTAGACATACCAGCATTGATTTCATTCATAGCTCTCTTAACACGCTCATCTGGTTCAATATCAACTATAAGTGTCTGAACAATTTCATATCCATAAGCCGACATAGCCTGTAATGGATCATGACGGTTCTCATATGAGATCAAATAAGTAATTCAGATTGCTGATATCAGTGACAAAAACCACAAAGAATTGGATTACCTTTTCAAGTTCATCCTCAACAGCCTTAGCAATTTCATTTTTTTGCTCAAAGACATCATCAAGATTGAGTTTTGGAACACTCGCTCGTATGACTGGAAAAATGAAGAACATAGATTTTTTTGAATTGGTAAAATCAATTTATTGTGTGAAAGATATGCTTGTAGAAGAATAAAACTCAACTTTAAAATACAAATCATAAAAAGATAAAGAGAGAAAGCTTGTCTACCATCAAAAACATAGGCCTGAATTTGACCCTTAGTGTTACTTAGTCTGTAGAAAGCATCATTTGCTTTATCTGCCAGGGCACGATACTGAATTGACGCAACAACATTGACAAATACATTATCCTGCATATTTTTGCAACAAATGTACAAATCATATACTCGTAAAATATTGTAAAGCTGACACCTACTTACGTTTGTGCAATTGCCAAATTGTGGTTAAGTTTGATGATTTGGCTGTGAAAAAACAACACATGTACAGGAAAAAGAATAGACCTTTGTCTTGGTCTCGCAGCGAACATCCAATTGCTGCACCCTGAGGGAGAGATGACCAGCTAGCTTGAATCCAAGGAACCAAGGGAGACAGTGGCATCCAGGCTGAAGCACATCTTGATACTTGCCAAATTGCTCCGTAATTGCAACCGTGGATTGATCAACTTGTACGCAGCACAACAAATTGCCCATACTCTGTAAAGACGGCATTAAAAGGAAGATGATCCACAAAAGTGACCCATGAAACATGCTCAAAAGACATTACACCAAAGGAACTTGTCATTCAACCAGCAACTTAGACTATACCAGGTTCATACAACAATTTATACTATCCTAAATTCAACTTCCAAATACCATTTTCCAAATTAACCTCATATACTACTTTGTTTTCCCCGAGTATCAACCGATTCATGTCAAATGGCTACAAGTTCACCAAATATAGTTGCACACCTCAAATTCACAATCCAATGAGGGTAAATTTTTGAACTATGATTCTATATTTCCAAATTCGAGGGGACTAAAGATGAAATGTATTCAAACTTTTTGGAAAAGAAGGGCATGTTTCTTTTTCTTTGTGTGTG